TGAAGGACAAAGGATATGGTGATTGGAAAAATTTCTTCTCTGAGGTTCGTCATCAGTACGCCGGCTTCCACTTCCTTTCTGCAGAATAGCAGGTGCTGTTCTTAGAGTCATTTGGTTGTCGTCACTCCAGAGGGGTCAGCATTGTAATAGGCTCTTCCAAGTGCCCAACAATTCCGTTTTGAAGGGTCTCTGATGGAGGTGAAAAGCATGGGCATCTCAAATCATCGTTTACAAACCTGGTCTAGGAAAAATCAGTCTACTTTTTTGCTGAAGGACTCTGCCTGAAGGACTGTTACTGTTGTCAGTGGCGCTGCCTTTTTGTAGATTGACTATTAATACAACTGCAGAACATCAGCTAGCATTCAAAGATTCAAGCTTCTGGCAGTGTGGAGATGTGGTTTAGTAGCAGAAGCAATGGGATGCAAATGAGAGTCCCATGGTATTATATCTAACGCTGTCTAGGACTTGAACAGCCTGTGCTCTCCTTTCCTCACCATGTAACAGTTATCACAAACTGCAAGAGTGATGAGAGAATTCAAATAAAGGTTAGGAAAACAACTGGAAATGCACAACACATCTGTAAGGCCATGCGCATCTGCTTGCAAATAACCCTAGAGTCCTTTTTGATTCATTCCTGGTGTGTTCTTGCTTAGAGACTTTTCTTGTCTAATGCTCTGTTTTTCACCCTCAGTTTTTATCCCAGGACAGGTGGGTTTTCTGTGCTTGTTTCCAGGTCTTAGGCAACAAGCATGACCTCCCCTAACTTGCTCCTATTTCTGCCTGTCAGTTACTTAGGTTATTTCTGTTGGAAACATTTGGTTTTGTTCCTCTCAAGGAAATGAAAATTTGACTCGAGGAACTTCATCAGTCTCCTGGCTGAGCCAGATCCATGAAATCTATAAGAAGGAAATGAATTTCCCTAGAAAAGATTGTAAAACCCCTTCAAATTAGAATTTGGATCCTTCTGTCCCTCTCAGTAAAACTATGAAATGGTTCTGTATCCACTACATAAAGAAGTCTAGTTTTTCAGGTCTGAAAATCTAGCTTAAATTGTTAGGAACCCAGGCATTAGGAAGCATAGACCCACACTTTCTAGACTGAACTGTAAGATGGTGTCACCTGAATATTTTAATCTGTTTTAGGATTCCTCAAAGAAATAGAGTTATAAGTACTTCAAACAGTGGTGTGGTGTCTTTGGGGGAATGGGGAAATGTGAAAGCATAACTGAGTTAATTCTTATTAATGCTGTATGCAGATTGATGCTTTAATTACCAAGTCGTTTGAAAGATCAGTACTCTTTACATCTAATATGAACTGATGTGAAAATGTGAGTTATACATAACTGCATTGCATCTAGTGTTTAATCAATTGGATGCTTACAAGTAAAGAATAAATGATTTGTTTATATTCAGAGTTGGGCTCTGCTTTTCACGCAGTGAGAAGAACATTTTTATTTAACACTCATACACTATTGTTTGTAAATTTGGGGATGATATAATTTCCATGGATCGAAACAGTGCATCACCCATGTAAGTGCCTCCTCTCTCACCGAGGCGTAGTTTCTCGCTAAGCTGCTGTGCACTGTGTTACATAATCCTCTTCATTCATTCTCTCCACCAATTTGGGTTGAATACATACAAGGTGACTGCATTGTCTCTTCCACTTCCATTTCTGTATAAACATCAAGGCTAGAATAGATTTGGGGCACTGTTAGGATGGACCTGGAAATGTCAGAAATGGGCTTTCTCCTTTATAGTTATGCCTACAAGTCAAAGTGATAAGAACGTAGAAAGAAATTAGGATAGACTGGAGTCTTCAGGATGAAAAAAAAAAAAATCAGGCGTGAGACTGTGAGAAAGAATGATTTCTTTAAGGGTCTTTTGATTTGCTTTTTTGCCCTTTGTTTTCCCTTTGTGATTAGGTTGTGTGTTACCAGGGCTCTGTCTCCCCATAGCAGTTAGGGAGAAAGTATCCTATGAGTGACAGAATGAAATAACTTTGTTTACCTGGAATATGACTCCGAGAGGAACTTAGGGCTGTTTGCTGTTTGTGGATAGACCCCTGCTAGAAGGAATTATCCGTGCAATTGGACTGTTGCCTCCCTTGTGAAACTCTATTCTAGAGAAGAAAATGCATCCCTGGGTGCAGAGAGCAGGAAGGTTGTGAACTCTTGCTGGAGTTTTCATTAGACACTTGAAAAAGAAGGCACTTGGTTCTATAAAATTTTTCTTGGTACATATGCATGAAGATTAGCATAAATATGCATATGGTTTGCATAGGTATTTTCTTTCTCACATTGGTTTTTACTTCTTATTTACTTTTTGTAAATAAGTATCTTCTCTACATTGATGGCATTCCATGTCCCTGTACCCTCTCATTTGGCTTTCCATGTTAAACTTATTAAATTATTTTATTTGGACTCTACCCAGATTCTTTAGGGAAAAGGAAAAATAAATCTTTTGGTGTATGTATCAGTGATGTACACAGGGTGGAGGGTATTGGTTCCTGGTTTACTTTATGTGAGATTTGGAATGGGGCATGAGTCAGTGCACCGTGCCCTGAAAGCCTTCGTGCTCATTGAAAAGTAGAGAAAGATCAAACGGACTCTCCAGAAAGGAAAAAGCAACTGGTACCTAAAGAAGAGAACAGAGGCCTTAGAAGTTGAGAGAAAAACAAAGTAGCTTGTCACCCTTACTCACTTACTTTTAGTCATCAACTTCTTCCTTAATAAAATAAGGGTATTAAGTCATGTAGCCTCTATAATCTCCCATGACTCTAAAATTTATTGTTATGACAAATTCCTTGCTCTAATTAGGTGAGATATAACAAATTCCACATAGTACAGTAAATAATATGCCAGAACCTTGTTGTTTTATGTCATGTATCCCTCCCCCCTTTGAAAGATACTTAGTAATTAATTCAAGCTTCTCTTTATAGGTACTGCTTCTCTCACTTATTTTTCACACTTTCATGGGCAGGCACACAAGAAACTAAAGTGTTTATATAGTAGACAACCTTTAGTATATCATGTGCCAGGTCAAGGGCACCTGCACTTGTTGTCTCCGTGAGTGCCCACATGTACAGGAAAAGAGCCTATTGTGACAACCACATTTGACTTGTCATCTTCTGCCATGAATCAAGGTCACCTCCAGGTCTCTTGTCCAGTTGCATTTTAACAATGGCACTTCTGCAGAGATGACAGGACAGATCATGACCACAGATAGGGTGCTGAGACTGGATAGATCTGTTTCAAAACACAGACCTTGTTGAATTTCTGTGTTGCAATTTTTGAGGTTACTTTTGGCAAAAAAAAAAAAATGTGCTTGGCATGAGTTCTGTGTTGAGTGATCTTCCTTAGTTACAAATGGTTAGATGCTTGGGACTTGAACTGTGATCTCCTCGCTAACTGGACTATGAAGTTGATATTTGTGCTGTAATAAGGTTAAATACCTTGATTAATTAATGGAAATATGTTGGGTATTCTTAAGAGTGACTCTTCTACAGCTTGAACTACCAGATAAGAAAATATTTATTACCTTACTTGGATAATTTATCTAGTGCTACAGTGGTTGATAGGGATCTAAGTGGAAGTAAACTTGGTTTGGTTAATAAGCATGGAGTGTAGTTCTGGCAAGAAAAATATGAGTTCTTACAATCTCCTTTTGTAGTTTCTGCCTGCTTTCTTTAGAGAGAAATTGCTTATATAGGCTTATGTTATTGCCAGTTTCCTTCCACTAATGTGGTGACTTTGATAGCTTTTGAACAACCCTGATATCAAGCAGGCCATTCTAAGTGAGCATGGTGGTGATTAGACAAATGGAAGGAAATCTACAGTGTGTGCAAATTATAAACCTGATCAACAAAGGAGTAACTGTAAGACACCCTGCTCTCTTAACTTGAGCAGCTATTTCTTGTGACAAACTAAAAATCCAGGTTTAAAGTTAGAACTTTTGGGTTCCTTCTGAGTTTGACTTTTGGAAACAGCACAGCAAGCAGAAGTCATTTGATGGTGCAGAGCCTGTGGCCTGCCTGTCATTTCCCACGCTCTGACTTTGTCCTGAGTCACACGAGGTCTGGTAGAAATGCATGTAGATGCCCCATCCCACATGGTCATGCTCTGTGCCGACCTCTGCAAACCGTCTCTGATTGCTCCCACTCAGAACTTGAAATCTAGATTCAAACAGCTTGATTTTCCCTTGAAACAATGGATCCTGGGCAAAGGCCTGCAAGACCAGGCTTTGGGCCCTTTAGATAGGAAATTGCATGTATAAAAGTATGAAGGGAGAGTTTGTAGTCCAGTGAAATATCTTCATGGCCCTGTGGACTCGTGGTTTTTGTAAGGAAATACGTGGCCATAGGATTTTCCTGCCAGGGCCACTGAATCCAGAAAACCCCTAGAACAGAAGGCCCTTTTACTCAAGTCTGAAGGAGATGTTGCAGAGCGTATCAGCACATTTCTTTCTTTTTCCTTTTTCTGATTTGCTTGATGGCCTCACGTCCAGTATCCTACTTAATAATCCAGCTGCATTCCATAGCTGAGTTCAGGACTCTACCATGGAAAATAAAGTGAGGTAGGCTATTGATGGATGGAAATTAGAGCCAAATCTTTTAAGGTAATTGATCTTTAGTTATTGGTCAATAAAAGGTACTGGAAGCTAAAGAATTCTTCTCAGAGCAGTTAATTATACGTCTAGACCAGCTCCTCCACAAGCATTTAAAAGCCAACACTGAAGCAAAAGCCATGTCAGGCACACTTAGGCTGAAAAGGCAAAAGGAAGGCAGCAAGCTCTCTTGCGCCACCTCGTGTGGACACGCAGTTTCTCCACAGTCGCCTGTGAGAGTGTCCCTGGTACTTAGAAATGTGCTTCCTGCAAGGCTAGTGCTGTGGGGGTATCTACACAGAGCAGGGGCAACAGGCTGGGGCTCATTCTCCCCGATTTTTGTATAGACTGGACTTAACAGTCAAGTATTGACTGCTTCCTGCTTTCGTCTTCCCACAGCTCGGGAGGAGAATGTGGCCACTTTCCGCGGTTCCGAATACCTGTGCTACGACCTGTCTCAGAACCCGATCCAGAGCAGCAGTGATGAAATCACCCTCTCCTTTAAGACCTGGCAGCGAAACGGGCTCATCCTGCACACGGGCAAGTCGGCTGACTATGTCAACCTGGCTCTGAAGGATGGTGCGGTCTCTTTGGTCATTAACCTGGGGTCCGGGGCCTTCGAGGCCATTGTGGAACCAGTAAATGGAAAGTTCAACGACAACGCCTGGCATGATGTCAAAGTGACACGCAACCTCCGACAGGTAATGGCTGAGGGGAGAGAGCGCCCAAAAGGCTCCACTGAGGGAAGTTGGGTAGGAAGTTTGTGAAGCAGGTGGCCGGTGAGATCGAGAGGGGTAGAGATAAGGGGTTGCATATGTTAAAGTCTAACTTTCTCCCAGTCTTTTCAATTTCATTAGGAAATTTATTAAAATATGTTTCTCCTCATACTTCAGTTCTTTTTTGTGCTTGTTATTTAAGAAAAACATTCTGTTGGATAGATAAATTATAACTGTTCCCATCCCTTTTATTCTGCTTTCTGTTTATCATTTTCTTAATTACATTTGAATCTTATCATGTTATTGTTAAATTCAATTAAGGAACAGCACTTTGTTTCTGTAGCTTGGTATTTTTTTTCAGCTTTTGAATATACATTTTTCTTTTTAATTAAGTTAGCCATTGCCACAATGCCATACATTTTAATTCTCTATTGAAAAATTTGCATTTTTGTCTTCCTTTTGATTTAGCCCACTCCTCCCACCCACGTTTGATTTCATTTTTCTGGTTGCTATGTTAACCTCTAGCTTTGGAATTTATTAGCCGGGACCTCTCTGAATTGCTCTGCTTCTCTGTTCCCGAACGCGGTGGTCTGTTCTTAGTGGCCCCTGTCTATACCTCCAAGACTCTTCAGTTGACGGGCAGGCCTGGCAAGTGGAAGGACCCAAATAAAAAAGCCAGCTTTGGAGCAGCCTCTCCTCGTTCTGACCATGCTCAAGAACTCTCATCGCTGGTTGATTCTAAGCAGGCAACTCGGTCAGGTGACAACATTTTCAGAAAGCCTGAGTAGTGAAGTTGTTTTCAACTTTATCATGAATAATTCTACCAGTAGTAGCACCTTATCCATCCATATCAGTAAAAAAAAAAAAAAAGAGAGATAATGTATTGAAGTATGTGCAGAGACCACCTTTAGCCTATTGCTATTTGCCCTGTTTTTTTCTTCTTTTGTATTTTGTCAGATTGGATACTGTGCCTTCATTGATTAACCAGAAAACAGTGTGCAGATTTCTGGAGAGTGCTCATTTCTTCTGCAATATGAGTGATTAAATGTCTTCTAGAAATATCGAAGCATAAAAAGTGACCTATGTTTGCATATGTTTTCTATTGGACAAAAAAAATAATATGAATCTGTAATACTAAACAAATGGCTTAGGTTGGCACATAGTGGGAACACTCATTTCCATTGGAATGCTTGCTTTTTATTTCAATATGACAAGGAAGCCGCTTGATTGGGAGGTTCTGTTCTCTCTGTGATCAAGTTCCTGTGAAGCACAAGACATAGAGTTCCCAGTCACGTCAGCACACATGGAGTCACTGTTTTTGAATCACCGCCGTGTGTTCAGTCTCCAAGGAAGAAGAGTCCTACTGCTCATGGCATCTTTCATTATTCCCACCCATACTTACTAGGAAGAGACCCGCTCTAGGATGAGGAGAACTCAGATCAGTCTTCCATTTGCTAGCGTGCAGGGCTTGATACATCTGAGTTGTAGAAACTAGAACACCCATGAAATATGACCTTTACTCTGTTCTGATTGACAAATATAAAATCACACCTTTAGGCCTTGGTTGGTGTACAGGAAACTTCTCATGTACCAGGGTGCAGTTCAGGATTCTCACCCATTTCTGTCCCTGATCCCACATATTTCCTAGCCACTTTAGAATGATCCCAGTTTCCTGAGAAAGACTTGCTTTTGTTTTCACTGAAAGCACTTATCTAAAATATCCCCCAGTTAAGTGCTTTAAGACACAAGGCAAATCAAACTGTAATTCAAACATAGATTTTTGCTGCTTTCATTGTAGCCGCTGAAGGAAAACCACCGGGGAGCCTTCCATTCCACGTTGCAAGGCTCAGTTCTTCTCAGTGCCCTTGGAGCAGCCTCTCGACCTTCCTACATCACCGTGTCTGTTTGGGAAATGGTGATGACAGTCTCCCCAGCTATGGGTGATGTCTAAATATGCAAAGCACCTTCTGCTCCAGAAGGATTATGAGCTCATCCGTGGCCTGGGTGCTACGAGAGCTGTGACGTGCACATGATTTACGGCTGCACATCCTCTCTCAAAGGTGACTGAGTGTCTTTGGTGCCAGAATGCAGCCAAGCAGAGCTCTCACTGCTGGGAACAGCTGCAGAGGCTCAAGGGCAACTGGGTTTGGGCAGAAGATGTTTTAATCTAAGGTGGGGAAAGTGCACATAAAACAGAACCACGTGGAGATCCTAGCTGAATTTTTCCATCCAAACTTAATTTGTTGAAAGAGAGAGAAATCTCTGAAAATATGAGTTGAGTATTTAAATATACTTCTTTAAATGCTAAATAATCTAAGATGATCATTTTCCCATTAAAAACGATGTCTAACATTATTTTGTGAGTTTTCTGACATACATTGGAAGGGGTGGGGGAGCCATTTCATATTTCAATTAAATTTTAAATTGCTTCACAGATATTTTATATACAGTTTTAATGTTGAATTTTAACATACATATTTTAATATTTTTGACTTTTGGCAGCCTCCTCCACTTTTGTTAGTGAGGTTGACTGGTGTCTGTGGCCAAACATTATCTGCAGAAAGTTTACCTGGAGTTTCCTGGAGTTTCATTACTCTGCAGGGACATTTTTCCTTACTTCCTTCATGATTATTAACTTTAGGCTCTGCCTTTAAGCCAAGTCAGGGCCAAGGCTCAGTCTTTATTGGGACTTTCCATTGAAGAAACGAATGTGGACTGTCTCTTCCAAACCTTGCAGGCGTTAGGCTGATCCCAGTGGTGAGATGTTAATGCAGTGTGTGTGAAAGAAATGGTTGTCAATTACCTTTCTCAGGCTGCTGTCCTAATTATGCTACTTTTGCTGAACCAATCATGCAAATCTAAGGTCACGGAACCTTCTAGTCTCCTAGGTTTGAGTATTTTGACAGTGTAGCACCTAAAAAGGCCAACAAGGAAACAAATTGTTGGTCTCCACACATCATGTTTAATTTTGTTCTTCCTCCGTACTCTCCACCTAAGAAAGTGTTTGAAACCTTCGAAGGCATTGTGTACGAACAGGGACAGGGAGATTTAGCCCTAAAGCATTCTGGTAAAACAGACACAAATACAAAACCAAAAACCAGTAACTTCATAAGATAACAGAGAAGACTTCTTGGGTGCATTCTGTTAACACAGCAGTAAAAGCAGAGCATTTCCTACCAGCCCCACTTGCAGACATTCACAAAAATCAGGTGGGCCTAGGATCTTTAAATGGAAACCTGGAGCATAGGACACACATTCCCTTTGCTAGCTTTGATCTCTAAATGTGCTAAGCTCTTTTCTTTCTAGAAGATTATGATCATCCATCCATGCAGTCAGAATCAGAAGTGAAATAAAAACCCAACATATTGGTGTCTCTCTGTTGATCTTCATGTGGATTGCTAACCAGTGGGGTCCTTTTCTTGCAGAGCAGGTGGGATGTGTGTGTATTAAGAGGGTGGGAAGGGAACATGGACAGTGCTATTCTGAAGAGCCCTTGGGAAGTAAGTATGATATTAATTCTGCCTGGGGTGGGGTGAGGTCTAATTGGAGCAGTGTTTCGAAGCAACGGGGCATTACAAGGGCATGGTGGACTGCAGACCCTTCCCTGGCTGCACCCAGGGTGTCAAGGTTTTCCATAGAGTCCTGCTCTCATTGTCTTCCCACCTTCTCTTTCTGTGTTGGGTGCCTTTTTTTTGAAAAACTAACACAAGATCATTCATGCAATGTGTCATTTTTACTAACCAACTAATGTACTAACACCCTAACGACTCATCTTTGTTTTTAGTTTTTTTAATTAACAATCGTTCTGTTCACAATTTTTAATTTCCTTTCTTCCCCCTTCTCCGCAAAGCACTCAGGCATCGGACACGCTATGGTAAACAAACTACATTGTCTGGTAGATATCATTCTTATTGTCTCTTTTTTTGGGTTTGCCGTGTGTTGCCACCCTTTTCCTCCCCAAATCCTCCTTTTATCCTCTTTTAGACTTATCTCTTCTTCTTTTTCCATTTTTGTTAAATTAACTGCAAGCTTTTATTTTCGCTTTAAAATAAAAACAAAAACAGAAAAAAAAAAAAGAAGGGGATACACCCATCATGAAAATGATATTTTATGCCAAGTTTGTTGGGGACAGTTTCCTTTTCTTCAGTTTTGAATTTTTTTTCCCTAAACAATTTTTTTCCAGAAATACTTTTAAAAGAAGTTTTTCCATTCAGTTAACTTTGTTTTGCTTGGTTGTCTTAGTTCCAACCCAAAAGACTGCGAGACGACAGATATATAGTGAGAATTTCTTCTCTTTGTCTTTCTCTATCCCTCCCTCTTCGGCTTTCTTTTCTCTCCTTCCTGCTCCTAAATCCCTTTCTCTTTTCATTTAGCTGTGGCCACAGCTGCCACAGGTGATCTGGGAAGGAAAGAGCCCTCTTTCCTCTCTTCCTTCCCCGTCTTTTACTTTGCTCCCCCACCATGGCCAAGAGGGAGCTGGTCCAGCTGTGCTCCATCCCGACGCTGCATGGCATGTTCCTGTCTCGTGGATTCCCCACTGCCTTCGTATTTCAGTGTTGACCCCTCCATGACTAACAACCTGCCTACCATCAACCTCATTCCGTCTTCATTTTCCCCCTCCTCTAAATCTCCTTTGTTCTCGTTTCATCCTTCGTGTAGATTGGGGTTGGGTTTGGACTTTTTCTTTTCTTTTTTTTTTCCACCTTTTTTATTTTTGTTTAGTGAGGGAGGCGATAGGTAGGGAAAAGAATATGTGAGTTGTGAGGGTTTTTTGTTTTTTTTCCATTTCCATCTTGTTCTTCAGTTTGTTCAGTGCATGACCGTGTGAAGTGGATTTTAATTATTTCTGTTCCTTCTCCTCACCCTGTCCTATAGCCCTACTTTTTTTCCTTTCTGCCTTCCTTTTAGCTCCACTTAATTTCCGCATGGGTGTGTCAGTAGATGGTGTGTGCACGCTTTAAGGTGCTTTCTGCTCCCTATCCTTTTCACGGATATTGGGCGTATGGGTGCTATTTCTTCCCTGTAGGCATTATTATTATTATTATTATTATTATTATTATTATTATCATGCCTCATTTTTTTTCTTGTCAAAATTGCCTTTTTGATTTGAATCCTTCTTTTCTTGGTGGTGGTGATGACCATCAAGGGAGGGCTGGGATGGGTGTCCTGGGGAATCCGTGGCATGTGTCATCCATAACATCACAGCAGGGAATCCTGCCCTTCCCTTCCTGAATGCATGTTTGTCATTGTGGTGTGAGCTAAAAAAGAAAGAAAAAAGAAAAGAAAAAAAGGAATAAACCCTCAATAACCAAAGACCAACCCCTAACTAACCCCATCATCAAGTGTCTCCTTTGCTGTGTCTCATTACCACCATAAATAACAACCATCTAATGATCATTTTAGCAATGAGCTGAGACAAATGATATCGTCTGAGGATGGTTCCATTTTCTAGCCTGACTAAGTGAAGAATGCAATGGCTAGAACAAGGTGTTCAGCTTGGTCATCTGAACAAATCTTCTTATGAGTCTACAGGGGGATACTGGAGACCTGGGGTATAGGGAGGCAGACCAGAAAATGGAACTTGGTTGTACATATCAAAATCAAACCAAATTAGAAAGAATTCCTCAAGAAAAATCTTAATGAAAGTGACATCACAAGCAGGGGAAACCGCTGAGTTTTGATAGGATTGTAAGGTCATTGCTGGGAATTTTTTTTGTCCCTATGTGTCTGCACCAGGTGACAATCTCCGTGGATGGCATTCTCACCACGACGGGCTACACTCAAGAGGACTACACCATGCTGGGCTCAGATGACTTCTTCTATGTGGGAGGAAGCCCCAGCACTGCTGACTTGCCTGGCTCACCCGTTAGCAACAACTTCATGGGCTGCCTTAAAGAGGTAAAGTTCATACAACTCCATTTATTCTTCCGTTGGGGTGGTTTAAGACTTAATGAGGTGCTTAGAATAATGGCTATATCTTCTCTCTGATCTGTGAGGCATAGGTGATAGCAGAAAAGACTTTGGTCTTGGAAGCAGATGTCCTTCATTTTGCTGCTGGTTTAGGATGGTTGGGTTTACCACTTGAGAACTCCGTGATTGCGTTGCTCACTTAAGTAATGAAGACTTTATCCCACAGGCAGTCGTGATTTAAAAATTGACTATAATAACACTGATGCGAAGACTTTGAAATGTATAAATCTCGATGATGTATATTGAATTTGAGCAAGTATGGAAGTTCTAGCTAAAAATGGTTCAATTTGTAGGTGTGTGTCTTGTCTTATATATAACATATGTGGTATTTTACCTTTGCCAAGCCCAGTTTCCTACGACTATCATTATTTCTGATGAAGGAAAATTTCCAGAATGTAACATAGAGCTCAGAAGTTTGTTTTTCTTTCTTTCCTTTTTTTTTCCTTCCTTGAAGTCTATAGCTGTGAGAAAGTGGTGAGATTTTGCCATTACTCATTTGTTACTGTGATAGCTGATGTGTTGAAACCTCTGTCTGAGAGCAAAAGGAGCTTGAGTCAAGTGTAAGTTCAACCTCTAAGGTCAATTGTTGAGGCAAAAAGAATCAGACTTGATTTAGTAGATTTCTTTCAGAACAGAGTGTCAATGGAGAAATACACTGTAAGTTTTGCTTAATCCAAGCTAAGCTTGATTGCCTAAGATATCTATATTTCCCAAGGGGGATTCCTGGGAGAAGCTAGCAGTAGTCCTTCTTGCAGATAAAAATTCCTTGTGACATCTTTGGAGCTTTCTCCCAGGGCACATGTTTTATTCTTATTATAGTTATTTGAGATTAGTGAAACATCAGTTATATATGAGATGGCTTTACACATGCATTCTTTTCTGTCTGTCACTGGATCATGAACCACGTTAGGAAAGCAGCTGTATGTTATGTTAGGCTCATAGTAGGTCTGCAAAGAAAGTATTTGTTGGATGGATTGGTTTGTTAAATAATCATGGAGTACAATTTTATTTTGTGCTGTCATCAAAGGTAGCTCTTTGTAAGCCATGGTATCTATGTTCAGAAACCTTATAATGTAGGAAGAGAGATGAGCTCAGAAATTGGATAATTCTAGCATCAAGCACCATGTATTCCGTGCCACAGACTGAATGCTCTGATTGAAGAGAGGAAACAGATACATTTTAGATGAAAGTCAATTTGAGAGCAGAAGTGCCATTTCAGATGGGCTGTGTTGCCATAAACTGTGTGTGAAGTGAGAGGCAGGATTGGAAGCAAAGACATGACAGAATAGGGAATATTCAACTGTGTTGTTTCATGCTGCTTCCTACTGTTTTTAGTCAGAAGGACAAATTCAGAGTTCTGCTTCTCTGTTGGCTCTTTCCTGCACTTGAGTTGGCTTCATGGATTCTGTTGGAAGGACATGGTCAGTAGAGAGCATCTCTTCCCTAGAATTTACTCCCAGCTGAGTAAAATAAAGTTGTAAATGTCTAATGAGTCCAGAAAACCTCCTAAGCACTGTTAAACAATGTGTGGTTGCCATTGTACTATCAGCAGTAAAAAGCTGTACCATCCCCATTGCCAAAGAGGTGAAGAGGCATTGCTTACCATGGGTGCTTATCCAGTTTTGAAGTGTGATGACCTTGAGTGTGGAATTTCTGTTGGATTAGACTTCGGGGTGGCCTTAATCACTGTCTTTTTGTGCCCACAATTATTTTGAACCCTTTCCCGATTACATGTTTTTAGGTGATGGAGTAACTTTTCAAATATACATTTTTTTTTTAAATCTGTTAATCTAGAAGGATACTTCTGGACATTTTGAAATAAGACTCAATATAAAAGGAAGATTTCTCTGAAGACTTCGCCAATGAGAATCTAAACTAAGCAAAATCACATACATACACTTACAATAACACACATTCACACTTAGATCACCCAAGGAAAGATCAGAAAATGTCCATCAAAAGCATCACTTGGGGCAGGAATTTGAGTTAACAGTTAAGAACTTGGTTGGAATACTCACTTGGCTTGTCATAGTGGATATGTTCAAGTCCAGTGTACTCGCAGTTCCAGTGCTGAGGATTTGTGCCATGAGAGTGTTAGTTCAGGTAGCTGTGTCTCTGTTGCCAACCTGCTACACCCAGGTCAGCTTCTGGCCCCTGGCTTCAGCTTGCCCTTGGCCTTGCTGTTTGGGTATTTGAGGGAATCAATTAGCAGATTGGAGAGGTTTCTCTGAATCTTCTTCAGTCTCTCAACATTTCAAATATGATTTAGATAAGTGCCAGTTAATCCCTTAAAATTAAAAGCAAGTCTGAAAAACAATGTCAGTAGTAGAAACAACTGTAAATAGTCATAGAAAATAAAAGAGCTGTCTCTTAAATGGTATCACGAATCTTTATTTAAATGCAGACCAAATTAGAAAGAGGAAAGTCTGAAACACTGGGGATATGGTGGGCAAAATGAGAACTTCACTGACTCCCATCACCACCTCTGATTTTCATTTGCTTGAAGTCTTCGCAAGTTCATGGAAAATGCTTGTTATAAAAAAGCTGAAGTGGCTATCAAAACTTGGTTGCATAAAAATAAACTTTTTAAACTACGTTTTTATCTATATAGAGAACATATTCAATATAATTGAGTTCAGTTGAGTTCAATAAGTACAAATTCTTCACTATTAAACAGGAATCTAGACCAAAGGTATAAATAATAAATCTAAAACTATAAATTTCATTCAGCAAATAAAAATGATTTTATATCCTCAACATATATTAGCTATCACAAATCAAAGAAAATCGTTCAAATCAAAGAAAATGTTTGTGCTTTGAATTGCATACTTCCATGCACTCTTTGAAATCCCTTATATAGCTTGATAGCCTAAGGAACTTAAAGGTTGCCCATTTGCTTGAGTTCTTTTTTTTAATTTTTTTTTGTAAAACTTTGCTAGTATCTTTGTCAAACCAATGATTAAGGATGCTCTCTATTATAATTTTAATGATATGTGATTATGATTTACTATATATGAGTGAAATTATCATTTTCTATTCTGTTATTATGCATGACTTGTCTTGGTTCTCACTAACGTAAGGTCACTTTCATTTTTTAAGATTTATTTTATTTATCTGAAAGACAAAAGAAAAAAGAGGGGAATACATAGAGAAGTGGAAGAGAGGAAGAAAGAGAGAGAGAGAGAGAGAATCTTCCGTCAGCTGCTCTCTCCCAAGTGACTGCAGTGGCCAGAGTTGAGCCAGGCAGATGTCAGGAACCAGAACCTTTTTCTGGGTCTCCCACATGGGTGCAGGGACCAAGGACTTGTTCCCTTCTCCTCTGCTTTCCTAGGAGCTGTGTTGGGGTTGAGCTCCTTGCCAATTCCACTAGTGCACCTCAGCAATTTAACCTTAGAGCCATCTCTTCATATTTTCATGATCCCTTCTTCCTTTCTTTTTGCTTGACTTTTCTTCCATCTTTTCTTGGCATCTCTAACTCCAAGTTGCTCTTAACTGACTAGGATGCTGTTATGCATCATTTTCTTCAACTTGAGACATGAAAAAGACACTAGCAGATTTCTGTTCCACATCACTGATACTTCTTCATGTGTGGCACCAAAAGGTTTTATCTTGGAACTACAGTTGTTTATTCCTAAAAAGCTATGTTCTGACTCCTATATTGAGTCAAAATGAATTTTACCTGTGCAAGCATCTCTTAGCTTGATGGCAGTTTAACCATGCCATGACCAAGAGTGTCTCAGTTGTCATCATATTATGTGGCTCCCAGCACATGTTCATTACCAGTATGGGATTCCCAGACACTGAAACAGCTCTCAGTCAACTATTTAGGTTCCTCTTTATGTTTTCATATCTTAACGTCCAGTTTACTTTTGTTATTATTGAATCCTCAGCTCCCAGAATAGTTCTTAGTACCCAATACTTTCTCAATAAATATTTATTGAGTGAAGCCACGTGTTAAATAAATAAATATACTCTTTAGATAAATGCTCTCAGGCATTACTAGCCACTTGACTCTCCTGGGATGACTTGGCAGTAGTTGAATCTTCCAAGAATTCCCCAGTTAGCTGATTTGAGAGATACACTGTGTGAGAATGAATTGAAACCTTGTCTGGAAAGAACAGGGCTGAAAAGGCTTTGAGATAAATGCCATAGTGCGATGAAAATAATACTGAGTTGAGTTTAATACCAGGAAACCTGGTTGGGAATTCAAACTTTATCCTGTAAGTATATCCTGGAATAACCCACTGGATTGAAGTCTGAGCTTCCTAGCACGTATCACAGAATGCTAAGGACTCTGTAGCATTCTTCTTACAGGCAACAGCAATGATGAGCTTAAACCAAATGACACTATACAATGGAGTTTTGCTATAATAGTTACTATTAAGGATTGTGTAATATAGTTCATATTCATTCATTTGTTACATTGTTGGTTGGTTTCAGTCGTTGATTTGGTGCTGTCAGTCTCCATGTATTTAAATGTGAGCACCGTGAAGAGAAAGGGCTTATCTAGTCACAGTGATTCCCAGTATCTAGAACAATCCCTGACTTAAAACACAATGACTCAATAAGTACCTGGAAGTAATATGTTGATGGATGAGCTAACTTCCAGGAGTTCCAAAACTACTGGAGTTGGCGATCAACCATGTTGTAGTTGAGGGTGCTACCACCAAACACTGTAGAACAGGTGCTCTATAAACAATGGATGCATTTCTCTTATTACTGGAAGCTGTTCTCATGAAGGCCTCTTCTAAGTTGTGCACTGCTATCTTCTTGAATCCCTCTCCTATCAATCATAATAAAAAGAGTGCCAGGGAGCTCCCTGTAGTTTTTTTTAAGGGCACAAATCTCATAATACATGAAGATTCCACACTCACGACCTTATTACATCCCAAGGCACCCCACCCCCTTCTGCCCCAATACCATCACAT